CAAAAGAATAAGAGAAACTTAGCTTGCAATGCAAGAAGAAGGTTAACTTTGATAATGAAATCAAATTGTACTGAAAAATAGGTAAGTAAAGAAAGGGAGAAAAATGAATTGTTCCAACAATGGAAGTAGTGATAGAATTCCCATTAAGAAAAGTAACAAGAATATGTTTAATACGTTTATAGGAAACAAAGTTTAAGCAAAGATGGTTAATAATACTTGTATCAAAAATCCATTTTATGTGGAAAAGTTTACCATTAATACTAGAAAGTGCAATTTGTTATTGAATAGAAGACAAATTTACTTGGGCATTGGTGTTATTTGTAACACCTTAATTTAATTTTAGAATAATAAATTTCGTAAAATGAGAATAATTAAAAATTTGTTTAAATATAATTTTTCAATACAGAGTTTCATCAAAGTTTTTCAAAATAATAAGGGATTACAAGTTTATATAAATAATTTACAGAACCAATTCAATTACATCGTAATTTCAAAATAAAATATAAGTCTTATAGCAGTTTCATCCATCCCTTCACTGAGGCTGGTGCTGATCATCTTGGTCACCTGAAAAACAAATATAAGAATGAGTACTCTACATTATCCATCACATAAACATAGAGACTCACCTTGCATACTCATGTATTCTAATATATTTTACTCTCAAGTATTATCAATCACATAAAGCACTCATCATACATTCCAATTCAAATTACAATTGGTGCACTCACTGTACCAACAACATTTCACACACGTGCGCTCACTGCATATAGTCATGCTCATTGTGGCACTGTGATCGCAGTTTCACACAATGGATGGTCACTGGTTACCCCCGCATCACAGATATCACATGTGCAGTGACGAGTCGTTCGACAAAGGTATTGGTTAGAGGTCTAGTCAGGAGGAGAGTGTGTGGCCTGTGGTGCACCCATGCTCACTGTTGGTGTCACCACCACTCTCTCTTCCCCAAGGTATTTCTATCGTCCTTATCTTCCACACCTCCAATATATCATTGAACCATTCATAGCATATTCACAACCACATTTAACATGCCTCATTCACACACATTTCAGCCACATACAATATCCATATTCGCACACAACACACAAGCTCACATTCATTCACAGAACGCAGCTTAGAGGCCCATATTCAGTCATATTACATGACACAAATGCCCACATTTACCACACAAGATTCAATCATATAGTTTTTATCACAATTTCTTTTCAATCATTTTGTTCATCATACACAATATTTCTCAATGTCAATAATACTTGGTTCCACATAAGATTTCCACTATACCCTAGTACAATCAAGTCATTTTCATCCAAACGCACACCTTTCTACGTGTTATTTCAATCACAACTCTACAAGTAACAATATAAATGGATTTTCAAGCAAAATGAGATAGGGTAGGGTCCCCATTACCTCGGATTGAAGACCCACACACGAAATCAACCGTAGTGCTTCTGACACGAATTTTGTCCTAAATACATGGAAGAATCCCATGAGAATCAAGAGAAACAAGCAAACAGAGAATGAGGATGAGAAACTAAAACCCTAACCATTAAAATTTACCTTCAAGCTTCTCCAACATGATTTCAACCTTCAATCTAACTCTCGAACGGCTTTGGAGGCAATTTAATTGGTGAAATAGGGTTTTAGGTCGAGAGGAATGAGAAATGAATTTTTCAGACCCTAACCCTTTGAAATGCCTTTATGTCACGACACTTTCGCTACAGCGAGACCCTCTCACTGCAGAATTGCACCCCTCACTGTCGCTCTCTCGCTGCAGCAAGGGATCTCTCTCTACAGCAAGAAGGCGACAATTTCACGCCTTCCTCCTAGGCCCTTTCGCTATAGCGAGACATCTCTTGCTACAGCGAGAACACCCTACATCATACACTTAGCCTATTTCAAGCAGTTCAAAAAGTCAATCTCGATGCAAAATTAGCATTCACATCACATTTCGCAAATATACACATATTTATACATATATTCTCATCACCATTTAATATTCATCATTATTATATCAACTCATCACACACTCAAGTGCACATTTCACATCCATTTATATATAATAATAATAATAATAATAATAATAATAATGAATATTACAAAATTCAGGGCGTTACATTATTTTTGTTGTTATTAAGGTTTGAGGAAGGAGAGTGAGCCATTTTAGTATTATTTAGTGTGAAATCATATTTTTGTTCTTGAATTTTTAGCCTCTATTGGGTTTTCATAAATTGCCATATTTAGGATTCTTAAACTTGAATCCTGAGGGAAACCATGTTTTTTTTTTGTAGCATACGTCAACTATGCATCCTAGTTTTGCACAATGTGAGGAAAGTTTACCACCCTATTAATCTTTTGTATTATTGAATCCTTTGAAGTTGTTGTGTTACCTTGGATCTTAGGCAGAATTGTTAGTGACATCAGTAAGAATCTTTGAATTTCCAAATTGTTTTGCTCTCTTGTTGTGCAATGGAAGAAAAAACCTTGTTAATGGCTGGAAGAGGGTCCATCAACATGATTTGAAACCTCACAGTGAAGTATTATTTATTCAAGTCCTTTAAGAATCTTTTTAATATATTTGTATTTTGTTCTTCAAGTTATGGAATGTTTTGCAAGTACATTTGACATTACAAGAATAAACAAGTATTTGACACAAGATCTCAAGTTCATCCCATAGGATTTTAATTCTTGTTTAGTATCTAGTCACAGTGAGATTTCCTTGCTTAAAACTATAATTTTTAATTTTTTTTTGTATCTCAAAGATTTTGAAGAGGTCAACATGTGAAAATCTTTCTTTAAACTCTATTTAGACTTTTAAGAGCTTGTCCTCCATATGATATATTAAGCAATTTCAAGACTCATGGATCGAATAAGTCACCCAGGAACTATGGTGTTGCAACATTCCTAGTAGAAGTTAATATCATTCATGACTTGTGGTTCTTTAATAGTTTTATTAATAAAATCTACTTTATTCTTGACAAACAAACTCAAATTCGTGGATTTTGACCAAATGTGATAATTCACGTATGTGAGGAGGGGCATAACAAGAATTATAGTGGAGTTTTCATTTGAATGAAAATAATATAAACATGACAAACTTTTCATGTCTTTTAACGTGTGGACAATATCAATAGCTATTATCAAAGTTACATAACAAAGCTTTTATACCATTAGAATGTTGTATTAGAAAAATTAAAAATAAAAATAGATACTAATAATGATAAAATAAAAAAATTAATTTTACTATTTTTATCATTAAACGTAAAATTAAACAATATTATATAAAGTTCTTACTGACAATTATTATAAAACTTTTTCATGTAAATAATAAGTATTAAAATATTAAATTTTTTTGAAATAATCTTGAATTTTCTTTTCAAATAAAGGAAGTATCCTAGTGTTTTTCTTTTCTCAATATATTGAATTTATGTGTTTATTCATTCAATATGTTTTCTATTGAGAGAATTATTAAGAAGATGTTATAGGAAGACAAGATAAATCAATTTTTTTTCAGGTCCGGAACATAACTCTTAAACTGTAACCTTGTTGGGCTTGGTTTTCAGTACACTGTGACCTTGTCAAGCTTTTCAAACAATGCGGATAAAGCGTAACTCATGAAAACATATGCATAGTCAAATTATTGGCGGTGTGGGACAATCCATTTACCTGAACCTCATAGATTATGGACCAAAAATAATTCTCAATAGCCCAACATGAACCCACTCTGAAATAAAGTTAATACGATATGTTCACCAAATAAAAAATAAAAAAATTACAACATGCAACATGTGCCCCAAGAAGTGAAAAATATACACCCTTAATTGTATTTAGTCTCTAATTGAAACTATGTAAAATTCCTTGAATTGTTGGCTCAGGAGCCCTTGTATGTATAACATAAGTCATAATTTGATTATTGTTTACTAGGCATTCCAAACATAGCATAACTACTACTAGGTAGTCCATAACTTTGTAGATGTTTGCAAAAGCAATACGAGTTTCTTAAGCATTAAACAAAATCTGAGGTAGATTATATGGTTGATAATATTGAATCTAATTAGTTATTTCAATAAACTTTTGGAGATTGTCAACTCGGTATGAGTGGGTAACTTTTTCTTACTTTCTTTCCGTCAACACAAAAATAAAATAATCGATGAGCGTGCTGGCTGCACATCCTTTCATTATCTGATGAGTTCCAGGGAAGATATCTCATTGCCCCTTCATTGGGCAAATCAGAACTATTATTCACGTTAGTCATGAGGAACATCATTTTTAGGCGAAGTGGGAGGCTCCTTTTGCCAATGTTTATCTTAATGGTAATGTCTGTTTCACGTCAAAAAAATCATATAATATTCATTTTAAAAATAATTAATTTATTTATTTTCCCACGTACAATTTATGTATGAAGATTTTATGCAAAAAGGTGTACGCAGAAAGAAAACAAATTATGTAATTTATTTTATTGCGCAAATAATACTTCCGTTATTGCCACTAGTTGTTTTTGAATTATTGATTTATCTCCCAAATTTTGGAACTTAATGCCAAAGTTATTCACCCCACTAAATCTACATGGATCAAGAGATGGTTCAAGAATTACCAACTAGATGGTGCAACATTTCTTCTGACATAATTTGAGGTTTCCCTAATCATAATCTTAATATCCTAATCTAAATGCATATCCTCCACAATTCAACTATTTGCCCTTTTATTTGTGTTTTCGAGGTTCATATATAAACTAAACACTAAACAAAGGTCTAAAAAATTTTCTAAAAAAATATTTTGACTTATACTACACAATCTAAAAATTCGTCGTATACAACTTTATACTTATCATTAGCTCGTCACCAAGAGTTGACTTTGCACACTTGCACATAAAAAACTATTAATTAGAGGTCAATATGTTACCAACCGATTAAGGTTCAATTTTGGTAAACACTCATTACTTCTGATCTTCCTCTTCTGCTACCAAGGAGATTGATTACAAAGAGATGCAGTCACTGTGCTTTGTTGTCCCATGTGTTATCAGCTTCTTTGTCATGGTGTTTTCAAATGGCTTTTGCCTTGCTGATACAAATATGCAAACGAGTTCTCAATGTTCCGAAGCTGAATATTCTGTGAATGAAGATACATTCCAAACCAATCTTAGAAGTTTATTGGATTCATTAGCTTCTAATGTGGTCCAACATCATGGTTTTTACCAAACCATTGTAGGAAAAAAGGCCAACAAGGTTTATGGTACAATATTATGTAGAGGGGACATATCTGCTGACAATTGCTCTGATTGCACCCATAATTCCACCAGAGTGGCCTCAAATGATTGTCCTAAGAGCAGAGATGTTTCAATTTGGTTTAGATGGTGTTTCCTACGCTATTCAAATGAGAGTTTCTTTGGATTTATGCAACCAACAGCTGTGGCAATCACAAATGATACTGATTTTGAAGACCCATCTGTGGTTTCACAAGGGCTTCCCTTCATGAGTGAATTAGCTTCTATAACTCCAGAGAAGTCATTCATGTTCCATACAGCAGTACTGAACGCCAGCCAAAGTGGGAAGAGGTATGGTATGGCTCAATGCACAAGGGATATCAGTATGCTGGACTGCAGAAGGTGCTTGGATGCTCAGTTGGTCAATTTCAGAACTGTCATTGGAAACAAAAGAAGATGGGAAATTTATGGATCTAATTGTTTCATGTGGTACAATGACTACCAGTTTTATTCTAATGCCTCTACTCTTCTAAGTGGTGAGTCCTTTGATACTTGGTCAATTTGTTTGCAATTGAAGTTATTGCCTAGCTATAACTGTTTATCCTACAAATTTTTATTCATTAAAACATAGTAATATGGTTAGGCTTAATTTCCTTGTCATATATAATATTAGAATCAATTTTAATATAGTTTTGCTATGTGTTACAGCTGCTTGGAGATCCTCTTCTTGCACAAGATTAATAACTGGCATAGCGGTTGCGGTCATGGCAGCCTTTTCTATTGTTTTGTAACTTTGGCAGCTATCTTATAGTTTGAGAGAATGCCATGAATGTGAAACTGGCGATTATTTAATTCAATTTTCATTACTTCTTCAATGGGATTTGGTTTTTTTACATATGTTTGAGGAGTGGAGATGTATTATGTACACGTAAACTTTTTCTTTTGTATGTTTCTGTCGTAATTTGTTTGTTTCTTTATTTGACGGCTTTGTGATTAATATTAGGATCTTACATGCATCTGACTAAGGAAAAAAAATGGACCACTCAACTACACGGAGATATATGGTAATTATTGGGAAGGTTTCGAGAGAAAATGCTTATAGAAGTTTCTCTGGCTGGTAATAATTATATTTGTTTAGATATTGAGGTGTGATCTTAGGATGCAAATAGAAATTGGTCGTTAGGCCAATGAATGCAGAACGATACAGATTTATATTCTGTAGGCCTCTCCAATCTTCTTTGGGGTCCAGGGGATGGAGTAGGGATTGAGAGAGGGGATAGGGTTGTGACTGTTGCATGTGACAGGATTTGAACCTGCTTTTTACATTCCATTAACTTTGCCACTAAGCTATTAACCAAGGGACGAGTGATAAGATGAATTGCTAAATAAATACTAAGGAAACACACAAGCATTCATAAAAATTGTACCTTTTTGGTCAAAATAAAGGGTACATAGATACATACAGAGAAGCCCAATCTATTTTAAGCAAAGAAGCCCAGTCAATTCAGAGGTATAACAAAAGCATCCACTTTTGGACCCGAAAAAAATGTACTTTTTTTGTGAAGAAAAAATATATCATATTGTTCCTTTGGGCCTTTCCGAGTTCAGACAGAGGCCTTGTAGCCTTCAATTCAAACGTGCTTCGTGAAGCTATCATTGTAGCAGGCTCTCTTGCTAACTGTTCTCTCAGGGATTCACCTGTTCGAGACCCAAAAAAGAAAAAAGATTCACTTGTTAGACTCTCCTCTCCCAGGTTGTAATCTTCATATATGGAAAGACAATAATAATTTTTATTTGTTAATAAATTCTATAATTTTTTAGAGGTTGGAATTTTTTTTTTGTATATCTTTATTTTTAGAAAGAATTTTTGAGATACACATGTATGAAAAAGATAAAATAAATAAAAATATTTGTACATAATATTACATATACTGTCATATTTTAAATATTCAAATAATATAACTATTTTTAAGTTCTTTCCTTGTCTTGCTCAGTTATGGATTGTCATTATTTTACCGGTTTGTTTATCAATATTCCTATGAACATTTGTGTTTCTGTTCGTCATTTTGTGATTTTACATGTTGGCTATGCAGGCCCAATCACAACTTGTCATTAGGTTTATTCTTTATTAATTAGTGTTTTCTTTGGCTTATAAAAGAAAATGAAACTACACTTCAACTATTTTGTTTTACACTTTTGAATAGTTTAGAAAAATCAAATCTCATAATATTAGGAACGAAGTACAAAATGAGCTTTCCAAGTGGAATCGAGGTTGAGTTGGTATGTTTAAATCCAACTCTTCAAAATAAACAAGATAAAAAAAATGTAAGAGTTCTGTTGGTTGTAGTATTCTTATTTGAGTTAAATTCAAATTGAGTTACATTATTCATGTAATAATTTTATATAATGTTATTTTTTTTATTTCTCTTTGCCACAGTGATTATTCTATCATATATTTAATTTTCTTCCCTCTCTTTATTGTCCATTTTATTATATTGAAAAGGTTATATAAATGCAATTTGTCAACCAAATTTGTCAATTATTTAATTCGATTTTTAAATACTGAATTTCTATACTTTAAAGGCTGAGTTGAAGGATTTATTTGGGAAAACGTATGTTTAGTAATTATAAATATAATTTAATTTATTTTTAATGTTTCAACTTTTTTGTTAATTTTAATCTTAATAAAATTTAAACATCTAAATATGTCACATTATTTTTTATGTCAAAAATAATTGTTAACATAACTTTACAAAACTAAATGAATGTTAATAAATAACTTAAATTATTTTTAAAAATTGTAAACATCAAAACTAAACAAAATAAAATAAAGTTATATATATATATATATATATATATTTAAAAATATATTTAATTTTTTCTTTTAATCCAAGTCCAAACACAACTTGCGAGTTTGTAATGGTTAAACCACTTAACTCTACTCAATAGGTTAGTGATTCCTTACACGAATCTTTTTTCTCTTAACTTCGCATTATTTTTATTCTTTTTTAATTTGTTTGAAGTGAAGAATAGAATATTTATATGTAATTTAATTTTTTAATTTTTAAATGTTGTTTATTATTTTAATTATGAGATGAATATTAAACTTTATATTTATAAGAGGTTGTTGAAGTTTGGTTTTTACTTTGTATTATTTTAACTCTTTAATTTTTTATTTTTTAAAACTAACCTAACACAACTTATAAAATTTTGATTGGGTCAAATCATTTTTTTTTTATATCAAAACTCACTTAACCCAACTCATGAATACTCCTTTTTTGTAGGGTAAGTGAAAGATAATGTTTTAGTGTTATTTCAATCCAGTTAACATAACAAAATAACAGTCACGCTTTAGGCTTTATGACGTGGACAAGCACGCTCCAAGAATTAGTTTCGCATTTTCAAGAATAAGAGAGAGGAGCGTGCCGCTAGGCTTCTTACCCTAAATTTCACCCATCTTTCAAAGCTTAGTGCCGCTATGCCTTGGGGTCTCAAAATTATCTAAAGGTATCGCTCTAACATAAATCCACCTTCTTAGTGGCTTTGAGGAATGAAGCGATTGGAATCTGAAAAGCGTTCGACGGAAGAACTTGATCAAATGAGTCAAAGTACGAAAAAGATAAAGGTTGGTGACGAACCTTCATTCAAAGAACTAAGAGAGAAGACATGCAGAAAGAGATCAATATCACTCCGACGCCAAATCAGGTGCCTTTAAATCCTGTTAGATCTATTATGTTTCATATAAAGATAAGGTTCTTAAATGTAAAGAGGTAAATATTGTCTTAGGAGATGAAGAAATAGTTAGATCTATTCTTGATTACTTTAACTTTGGTCTAGATAATGAAGCAGTAGAAGAAATTTTTGAAAATCATAAAGATTTGTATCCTAATTTGAAAATTCCTTTGGAGGACTATGAAAATTGGTGTTCACCCTGGAGATCTACTTTAATAATCAAGCTTCTAGGTAAAACTGTTAGCTTTAACTATTTAAATCAAAAGTTAAATAATATTTAGGGCAAAAATGGTTCCCTCAAAATCCTGAACCTCAATAATGAGTTCTTTTTGGTTAAATTTGATGATATAGAGGACTATAAGCGAGCTTTATTTGAGGGGCCTTGGTTGATCCTAGACCACTATCTCCTTGTTCAAAGATGGAGACCCTTATTTAGGCCAAAAGATTACAATCTTAGAAAAATTGTTGCCTAAATGCATATCCTTGATCTTCCATTGGAATTATATGATGAAAAGTTCTTGTGGTAAGTAGGAGCTTGTCTAGGGTCAATGTTAAAAGTTGACCCCTATACATCTCTGCTATCCAGAGGTAGATTTGCCAAAATTTATGTAGAATTAGATCTCAGGAAAACTCTTATTCTCTCATTTAAGGTCCTAGGCCAAGAATTTAAGGTTGAATATGAGAGTTTGCACTTAATTTGTTTTAAATGTGAAAAATATAGACATAGGCAGAGGATATGCACTGAAATTGTTGAACAAAATAATGATAATATTAACCAAGAAAATATGATGATTTCAAAATGAGAGCACAACAAGGGGAATCAAATATGATAGAGGAGGTCATTGAGCAATTTCAGGATAGTAAAGAGATTAAAAACACTAAAGACATGGACCAGTTTGGCTCTTGGATGCTAGCAAAAAAGCCTTTCAGGAAAAAACCTAACTAGACCCAAATAAATAGTAGCCATATTAATAATGGAAGAGGTAAAGAGATATACTTAAGATTTAGATATGATATCCTAGGCTCTTCTAATCAGGATATGAGTCAGGATAAACCCTTTGAGTCGCATAAGACCCCAGATGAACATAAACTTAAAAAAGTCAATATTAGTGATATGTCTCTACTTGAGTTGGAATATAACAAAAATAACAATATAAGAAATAACTCGCATAAAAAATTAACTAAAAGCAAACAATTGCCTAAAACTGAAAAATTAGATAAGGGTAGAGATAATCCTCAACCAAGTATTATGAATGACACCTACAACAATCCAAGTAGCATAGCAAAAGATAATCATGATAGTTTAGATACTTTACTCCTGATGAATAGAATCCAAAAATAGCTTCAGAATAATAAGGAGTATAGTAGCTTTGTTCAGAACCTTATTGGCCTTAATCCTATTTACTATTGGATCTCCAATAATATGGTTAATAATGCCCACACAGATAGGCCCACTGAGAATAAACACTTTATAGAAATAGATATTCTAGGTAAAGACAGCCTTACTAATTCAAAAAATATCCAGCATTTGGACAATAGCAAGAGTAGAACCCAACATCTTGAGGATGTTACTACCATTTAGACCCAAAATTTATGAATTGTTTATTTTAGAACTGTAGGGGTGCTGGGGAAAGACATTCTCAAGGCTAGTAAATGATTTAATTGTCATTCATAACCTTGATTTTACAGCTTTATTGGAACCTAGAGTTAGCTTAGAAAAGGTTGATAAAATAATTAATAAAATAAATTTAGATGAATCAATTAAGGTAGATGTTGTTGGGTTCTCTAGTGGCATTTAGTGTTGTTAGAACTCCAAGAGAGTTAAAGCTACTGTTTATAAAACATCCAGTCACTTTATTCACCTTAAAATCAGTAGTCCTGGTCAGAAAGATTGGATTCTTTCTTCAGTTTATGCTAGTCCCCAAAGTAGGCAAAGAGTTAATTGCTGAAATGAACTAATGGATTTTAGTTCCTCCATAAACATACCTTGGTGTGCTGCAAGGGATTTCAATTCTATTTTATTTGAATTAGAAAAAGTAAGAGGCAGTCCAGCCAACCTTAATCATATTTAGGAGTTTGTTGACTGCCTAAATATTTGTGGCCTCCATGATATGGAGGCTAAGGGTAACCTTTTTACCTGGCAAAAAGGTAACCTAAAAGAAAAAATTGATAGAGTTGTTGTAAATGAATCTTGGAGATTGTTATTTCAAGTTAGTTCCCATATCAATATCCCTTTATTAAAATCTGACCATTCTGGTCTATGAATTAAGATTAGAAGTAAGGATAGTGTCAAAGATAGGTATAGGTACTTCAAATTTCTTGCCCCATAGATTAATCATGATGATTTCTCTACCCAAGTTAAGAACTCTTGGAGATCTTCTAGCCCTTGGACTGAGAATATAGATAGATTCAAAAGCAACATTTCTGAGTGAAATAAGATTGTTTTTGGAAACATTTTTAATAGGAAAAAGTGAATTTTTAATAGAATATAAGGTATGTTTAATAAATTAGCTTATGGGGATAACCCTTTCCTTACTAATTTAATGACCTCACTTTGGAAAGACTATCAACAAATTCTATACCAAGAAGAAATTTATTGGTATCACCACTTCAAATCTAATTGATTAGGTTGGGTGATAAAAAAATAGTTATTTCCATATATCTGTTGTAATTCATAGACATAAAAACTTGGTGGAGGCTCTTAAAAATGATGATAACAATTGGGAATATGACTCCTTAAAATTAAAATTCATGGCCTTGGAGTTATTTAAAAGCCTATATAATGACCCAAATCCCTTTGTCCCTAATCTGAATAGCAGAACCTCTTTCCCTCCTTTTAGGGATTTTGATAGTGATAGACTATATTTTGATTTATCAATAGATGAATTGAAAGCTTCCTTGTTTAGTATAAGGGACTTCAAATCTCCTGGTCCAGATGTGTTACATGCTATTTTCTTTAAAAGTCAGTGGAATATTCTAGCACATTTCATCTTTAATTTCATCTTAGATATTTTTAGTAATCCTAACAATATAGTTGCTGCAAATGGAACTTCTATTACTTTAATCCCTAAAAATAAAAATCTTGAACACATTAGGAATTTTAGACCTATCTCTTTGTGTAATATGAGCTAAGATTATTACTAAGCTGTTGGCTAATAGGATTAGGGAGTCCCTGCCCCACCTAGTGTCTACCAACCAAACTAGTTTTGTTCCAAGGAGACAAGGCATTGATAATGCTCTCATCCTTCAAGAACTCTTACATTCCTTTAACAAATTAAAAGGTAAAAACGGTTATATGATCCTTAAAATAGACTTTAAAAAGGCGTATAATAAGCTTAGATGAGAGTTCATTAGGAATATCCTTTAGAAAATTGGTTTCAGAACTAATTTAGTTAATCTGATTTATCAATGTATATCTTCAATGTCTATGTCCATTGACTGAAATAATAGTCAAACCCAACCTTTTAGCCCAGGCAGAAGTATTAGGTAAGGAGATCCCATTTTCCCTTATATTTTTGTTTTATGTTTAGAGATACTTGTACACTTAATCTAAGATAGGATCTCTGATTATGATTGAATTCCTTTTTCCTTTCGTAATCTTGGGGCCTAAAATTTCTCATTTATTTTTTGTAGATGATATTATTTTAGTAGCTAAGACTGATCTGCATCAAGCTAACATCATTTATGGTGTTCTTTCTGAATTTTGTTTGGCTTCAGGTCTTTTAATTAGTAAAGAAAAATCTTCCTTATTTTTTTTCAAAAGTACAGACCCTATCCTTACTCAGGATATTAGTAATCATTTAGGAATTAAAAGGTCTAATGAGTTTGGGACTTACTTAGACATCCCCATTAGAAACCAAACTCCTGACAGAAAAGATTTTGCTCCCATTATTAATAAAATCCACAAAAAACTTGCCCTTTGGAAGATGAATACCCTTTCCTTAGTTGGAAGGTCACACTGGCTCAATCATGTCTTTTGTCCATTCATGCTTATAGTATGCAATTTATGGTCATCCCTAGTTCTGTTTGTAAAGAAATAAACAATATATGTAAAAAGTTCATTTAGGGCTCTTTAGGCAAAAGAAAATGTCACATAATTAGTCAGGATAAAATTTGTAAACATAAGAATAATGGACGCTTGGGTTTTAGGGATCTCTCCCTGCTTAATAAGACATATATAATGAAATTATTTTGGAGATTGATTAAATCTCCTAATGAGTTATGAGCTCAAGTCATATATCATAAGTATAAATTTTGCCTTGGTAAGAACCCTAGCATAGGAAATAACATGAGAACCTCCCATCTTTGGAAGAGTATGTGTTCTGTCTGGGATTCTTTTTCTCAGGGGTTAGGTTGGGTCATTGGAAATGGTTGGACAACTAAATTCTGGAGGGATAATTAAATTCCTCATGTCTAAAATTTGACTCAGTATGCTTTGAACCCCATTCTAGAAGAAAAATTAGATATGCCTGTGAATTTTTTCACCAACCAGGGAAACTGGAACTGAGCTAGGATCAGACAGATTCTTCCTATTCCTATATGTGACTCTATTGCTCAACTCCAACTGCTTGATATGAGCAAAGGCAAAGACATTGCTTTCTAGAATCTTTCTAGTAATGGATTATTTTCAATTAAAACTGCTTATAACTTGTCTAATACTACTGATTAGGAACATGATCCTAGTAATAATATTTTTAAAGCAGCCTGGAAGTGGGATGAACCTCCTAGAGTTACTCTATTTTTATGGAAGTTAGCTCATGATAGGCTTTTAACAAATGAAAAAAGATATAAGAGAGACATAGCTAGTTTACCTCTTTGTCCTAGGTGCAATACAGCCACTGAGACTGTTATTCACATACTTAGAGACTGCTGGTTTGCCAAAGAAATATGAAAATATCTTATTTTACCTAAAAAATGGGCTTTTTTTTAGTGTTGGTCTGTCTAAATGGTTGCTTATAAATTTATCTAAATCTAAGTTTAATAGCTTTCCTTGTTGGAACAAGCTGCTTTGGGGTGGCTATCTAGCTAATTTGGAAGGAGAGAAATAATGTCATTTTTTAATTTTCATATATATCTCCTATTTCCTTATATCATAAAATTTGCTATGAAGTTGATTATTTAATTTGTTGTTTCAGGACCAACAAAATCCTTTGGGAATTCAAAGTCTTCAAAGATGGTATCCTCCCCCTTTGAACCACATGAAACTTAATATAGATGGAGCTGTCTCTCAGGTTCATGGAAGTGCTAGCTGTGGTGGTTTAATCAGAAACTGCCAAGGCCATGTTATAGCTGGATTTTACAGTTTTACAGGGGCATTGCATTATGCTCTCCTATAGATGTTGAGTTATGGAGCATATATTTTTATCTTCAATTAGTTGTTCAATAATATTTTTATTATCTGGATAGAAACTGACTCTAAATAAGCTCTTAACCTTGTGTTAAATATTCAAAGTGTTAATCATTCATCATTCTATCTAATTGATGCTATTAGGAGTATTTTAAGAAATATCTTTTTTGTTAGATTCACGCACATTCTTGAAAAAGGGAATAGATGTGCTGATATTTTGGCAAACTTAGTCTAAATTTTCCTAGGATGCCTCCTATTTTGTTAAGAGTCCTCCTTCTTTTTTAGGTGTTCTAAGTTTGGATTCTTTAGGTGTTTGTACTCTTAGATTGTTGTATTTTGTTTTTGTATTTGTTAGGCTTTTTAGCCTTATTAAATAGCAAAAAAAAAAAAAATACAGAATAATGGATGAATACTCCTATTATGTAGGATAAATAAAAAATAATTTTTTAATATTATTTCAATTGACTTTAAATTTAACTTTAGCTCATCAAGTTAACTATAATTAGATAAATATTAAATTATTAGTACTATATTATATTTTAAAATAAATAATTTTTTATTTAATTTTAATAAATTTATTATTTGAGATCATGAAATTGAGTTATAATTATATATATAATTTTAAATTTTTTTATATATTGCTACCTAACTTATACGTAGTTAAATTGAGTATTCTTTTTTTTTTTTTTAAATCAACCTAACACAGCTCATAAAATTTTGATTGGTTGAGTATTTTTTTCATTTCAAAATTCACTTAACTCAATCCATGAATTTTTCTATTTTATAGAGTGAGTAAAAAACAATATCCCAATCTTATTTTAATTGACTTTAAATTTTGACTTTGACTCATCAATCTGATTATAATTATTATTTTATTTTATAATAAATAAAATTTTTAATTTATGATAGAGCTTAACACTAGCATATGATACATGTATTTAGAGATGAAAAATGCTTGCAATACACTTTTTGAGATATTTTTAATATATTTTTAATTATTAATTAAAATTTATTAAAAATTTAATATAATTAAATTTAATTATTTTTTTATTTCTAATTTAATATTTTTTGTTTTTACTAAATTTTATTTAACAATTTAAAAAGAATATGTTGAGAATATTGGTAAAACATATTTTTGAGCATATTATTGATCCAACTAATGCTGGAGTTAATTGGAGTGGGCATACATTGATTTTATTCCAATTTCCAAGGCAGCTAAACATGTCTTAGTTAACATCAAAACCATTGTTGAAGGTCAATGGTACTTGGAAAGGACTGATATCATAAGGTCTCTGATCAACATAGTTTCCAGGTGGATCATAGTTGCAGCTGATGATGGTGCTGCGACCATCGTTGCACCGCACTTTGGCACACCCAAGACGCACTGAGTTGCGCCAAACCACCTGTGTGTAGTGGCGGCACTCCCCACCAACACAAGTGTTTGAGTTGTAATCATAATTTGGCTTCTCTGCCACCCACAGGTTCACAGCAGCTATGCCTGTGAGGTCACCACTGCTCCACGCAAGGTTCTCTCCATAACGACCCCCAGAGTGCACCAGCTTGCAGCTTCCTTTCAGTGTGTTCACATAGTTTTGTGCATAAGAGGCAACAGTTGCATCCCATGTCATGGGCCCTACCCCAACTTGGGAACGGGCTGTGTTGTGAGCGTTCAGGTAGTCTTGCGGTGAGTTCTGTGCATTAGACCTTTGTGATAGTGATACTATGCCTAGGAGGATAGCCATGAGTGGAATCATTGAGTTAGGCAAACCCATGTTACACGGTACGAGAATGTTTCAATGATGGCTAATAAGTATACTGTGTTAGAAGCCTATTTATAAAAGAGTTTTGGGTTGGATCGATTTGCTCTTTGCATGAGAGAACATTCACATGTTGCAAATGGACATTTAACTAATGAGGCGGCTGAACAAGTAAATAACCACACTCTGCAATTAAAGGTCATGAACATAACAGATTAGCTTCTTTTCTAGATAAGAACAATCTATTTTTGGGTGGGACAGAGGCTGCAAGGACTCTAAGCTTTCATGAAAAATAATTGTATTATACTTCTCATCTTATTTTTTATTCTAACTATAAAAATACAATTATATTTTTAAATATATCAATTACTATTTTTATTTATTATAAAAAGTCTTTAATAAAATACTCATTTTTTTATCTATATAAATAGATTAATTAATTTATTTAATGTATAAGAATTAATTAATATTATAAGTATTTTAGAATAAAATATAAAATTTATGACACATCATGATCTTAATGATTTAGATTTTGTTTTTCGACAGCAATAAAATAAAAAATTAGGTTTATACTCATTAGTTAATTAGTCTTAGCCATTATTAAGTGAATATAAATATTAATAATATACTCTTTAACATATGTTTAGTTATTATTATGAAAATTATAAAAATTCTGAAAATATTATTTTTATTCATAATGTAATTTTTTAATATTTTTTTAATTTTTAATTAATAATAAAAAGTATGTTAGAAAATGTAAGTAAATCGTATTGTTCATTTTCAAAAAGGGTTATCCAATTGGGCAATGTCAGCAACGACTGATGACTTTTTCCAAGTCAATTTGCGATCAAAGCGCTTATCAATCACGTTATGGCAAATTGACGTTGGAATATATTACCCGTAATTCCAAAATCAACCACCAAAAATCAAATAGTGTCTATATGCATGCACATGGATAAATACCTATACTGTTTTTATCTCATTTTTTATTTTTCTTTTATCATGTTACATGATTAATTATATCTTTTACTTCTTTTTCTTCTCTTTTTATTTGTTATTAAATATATAAGCTTAATAAATGTCTAAATATCATAATTTTTTATACGCATAGATGTGAACAATAATAATTTTAAACTCACTTTCTTGTACGATAGTTTCTAATATTTTTAATTTCTTCCTTCTTATCTTATTATTATTTATCGTAAAAAATGGAGAATGGATTTTTTTCCCCATATATATAGAAGTTCAAAACTTCTCACCAACTCTGGTAAACTTCCAAGTACAGGAGACTTGTCAATTTACGCAACTTCATTATAAAAAATTGATCATAAACTTTTCTTGGATACTTTGGCAAGATATTCTATGTCATACCAAACAATTTAAAGGGGATATAGTCCGCATCAGTGAATCAATGATGAACTACAAAAATCAGATTGAACTAAAATTAAAATGAAATATAACTTTAAGGACCAAAATTTAAATTTATAAATTTTAAATTTAAAAAAAAATATTTAGTTATTTCTATTTATACAAATAACTCTTTGTGATATGACTTGATATCACTTTGATCACTTATAACTAATTTAATCTGTTATCATATACCTTCCTGTGATTAAATAGAGTGCAAGCATGCTTGAGTCAAATCGCGAACTTCAATTTTTCCTACCTAACTTAAAAAGATAATTTTCTGATTTGAATTATCTGAGTTTACTTGGGTTTGATTTTAGAAATGGTAAAAAATCAATTTATGTCACATTGAATTTTAAGTTACAAAAATCTCCGTCTGAATAAAATCGATTAGGTTTGATTCACATTTTTTTTCCTTTGTTTTTTCTTCAAAATAACGTTACCAAAAATTGTATTTGTTTTTAAAATTTTTAAATAAATTGTAAAAATCTTTTGACTCGATGATCCTATCTAAACCTGTAACTTTCTTCTTTCAAGCGACATATTTCAGTGGAATTAAAAAAGTAGAAAAAGCGATAATATACAAAATCATTTTAATATTAAAAAACATTTATGATATAGAGAGATTAACGCTTCAACAGAAGATTTTTTTTTGTCATATATACAACACTCGAATCAAAGATCTTTCTTGTATATCCCTGAACCTAGTAACATATTAAATAAAACTAATAATAATAATAATAATAATAAGACCAACAATAACAAGATTTTGCTCAAATTAAAAAATTGAATCGTATGTATATGCTTCAACTCGACAGTATTTTATACATTAAAAAGACGTGTATTGTCCTAAACTCGACACACCCCAAACAAAATAAATAATTAAAAAGGCATACAAAATCTTCATAGAAAGTCATTTACATTTACATTTACATTTCAACAAATACATTCCATTTCGTTGCTACAAGTTATCTGATCTGAACACCTCATAGATAGCTTCAGCCTTTCAGAATCAAACCAGGGTTTATAACTCTCCCACATGGCTCTAATAGTTTTGTACATATCAACCATCATTGGCCGTTGCTCTATAGAATCCTTAACACAGTCACATGCAACTTCGAGGAGATCGAGGATTTTATTATCAAAACCTTTCCCAATGATAGATTTGTCAACGGCATCAAAAAAATCAATAGGATCAGCGAACAAGTTATTACTAATATATTTCATCAGAGAGTCATTAGCATTGCCACAAGTATCAGTCGTTGGACTTAATCTTTTCCCAGTTATAAGCTCAAAAAGGATTATTCCAAAGTCATAGACATCCCTCTCCACAGAACCCTTCACCCCAATTCCATCAATCAAAAACAATTTCATCCTTTCATGATCTTCAACCAACTGGTTTATGAATTTTGCCTTGCCAAAATTGGAAATTTTTGGCTCAAAATTCTTGTCCAGCAAGACACACTCCGAATCTAGATTGAGATGGACTATCTTGCACCTTTTGTGGAGCCAAGATAAACCCCTTGCAAGCCCAAGTGCAATGTGAATTCTCTCTGGCCATTCCAATTTTATTGTTGGTTGTCCTTCATCAGAATGTAACCAGTTACTAAGTTTTCCATTAGCCATGTACTTATACACCAAAATCCTTTCGTTTTTCTCCATGAAGAATCCATACAAAGGAGCTATGTTTATGGGCTTGTGTCTCCCCGGAATCATTGTTTCAAGTAAGAATTCCCTCTTGTACATATCAGCATCATATAGTCTCTTAACTGCCAAGAAACAGTTATTTGGTACCTTGGCCTTGTACATAATCCCTGTTGTTCCCAGCCCCAATATGTTGTCTGCAGTAAAATATTCAGTTGCCCTGCATAGTTCCATGAAGCTCATCCTAGGAATCAATCTCTCTAACAATCTTGACAGCTGTAAATTGAATGTCACACCACATTATGTAACATGACCTTAATATATGAGATATATACAAACTGATATTTTCCTAATGTGAAAAGTGAGATGACACAAGTATGACTAAAATAAGAGGGAAAGAGAGAGAGTATGAGAACCTCTTGGCTTCCTTGCTCTTGCAAGGCCAGTGGCAGCAATTCAACTGCTTGTCCAGTCTCCTTTTGATAGTTCTGCTTTTTTCTTAAGGGATATACGGCGTTACTCCTCCTCTTTTTGAATTCTGTCCAAGGTGCATAATGGTACATGATAGCTGCTGCTGAAGAAACAAAACCAATAATGAAACTATACCAAAATGATCTATCAAATAAGCTCTGGTCACAGCTTTCTAGTATTCCCCCACAGAGTCCACTATTATTGGCATAGCTCAAACTCACATCTACATTGCTGACAAAATCAGGCACTGGCCCTGTTAACAAATTGTTAGCGACACTAAAATCTCTAATCCGAGGAAGCAACCCAAGTTCTTTTGGGATTTGGCCAGTTAACTGGTTGCCATCAAGTCTAAGGGTATCTAAGTAAGAGAAGTTGGCAATACCCTTTGGAATTTCACCATAAAAATTGTTTTTTGAGAGATCAAGTGAGGTCAGATATGGCAAATTACTTGATATATCAGATGGGATATTTCCATAAAGCTCGTTGTATGAGAGGTCCAGACTCTGCAACCATGTGAAATGTTCAATGCAACTGGGGAACATGCCCTTCAGCCCCATATTAGAAAGCCAGATATTTATTACTCTATCTTCCATATAATTCAAGCATTCAACCCCACTAAATCTACATATGTCACCTTCATTGTTGCTCTCGAAATCCCAGCTTGATAAATGATTAAACGGGTCCAAATTCTTGATGGTTTGCAAGCAATGAATGTGACTTTTAGCACCATAACCCGCCATAAAGAGGCAAAACAATGACAACAAGAAGATCAGGAGAACATTCAAATTTCTTGTGGTAGGTTTCATTTTTGTAAACACATACGGGTACAGTGAGACAAGTGAAAATGGAAAAATTGAAACATAGTCCATCTCGAAGTTTTCAATTTCTGAGGTAGTTAACCTCAGAAGATCAAAAGGAAAGGTTATAATTATTATGAGCAAGCATGTCAAAAAACAACACGAGAATGAGTTCAGATGGTTGTCAGTTACTTTTCAAGGTGTTGTATGTATGTATGTATTTAGTTACAGCGATGAGTTCCAAGACTTAACTGTGTCATTGTTTTCGTTTTTCATTACTAAAAGACAAAGTGGATCAAGACTAAGCAATTTCCTAGAAGTTCAATTTGAATTTTCACAAGAGCACTACATGACTAGAACATAAATCAAATCAGAGCCATAGTCTTTTTTGAAGAAAATTATTAATGACATTGTTTATGCTTATCATTTTATCAATATTTCCACACTAATTCAGCGAACTCCCCGTGTGAAACAAGGTAACCATTGAAACGACCTTTCTACAACTCAATCCCAGTCCTATGTAAGAACAATGACAGTAGACAAGAATTTTTATTTTTTATTCTTTTAAAATTTTAAACTATTAAGTGGAACTGGACATTACTGATTGATCACGTTATATTTAAATGAAGAGTTAAAACTTAGAGTTAAGAAATCATTTTAAAAACATGAAAGTCCTTTACAAGTTACACACACGCACGAAAACCCGACTTTTGCTTTAAAGGGGATTGTCCATACTTCGTAACTTTTTTTAAAAAATATTTTGTGTAGTGTTGAGAGAGGACACTTAAAAGTGTTTATTTTATATTTGAAAGCTATCTTTTGAATATATATATATATATAATTTTAAAGTGTAAGAAATAAAATAATAATATACGATATTACATGCACTATTATTTTTAATAGTTCAATATTTTTTTCTTGTAGGAAAGAATATTATGTTCTGTAAAAGCAAGACTTATAGTTTTTTTTTACCATGAAAACTTATAAAATATGAGGATTTATTTGATGGATAAGATAGGATGACGATATTCTATTTTATCTAACTTTTTATATTTATTAATTAATAAAATATGAAAATTTAGTCTATTGAGTTATTTTATTTTATTAATATAATTTAAATTCTTATTTTAAAGACGGTGATAAGTTGGGAATCATTATGATACGATAACTATTTTTTTTTATTTTTACTTATATTTTATGAAAAAAATATTTGTAGAACATAATTTTAATAGTTTTTGAAAAGAATATATTTTATAAGAAAATTATGTTTTTAAAATTTTTATAATTTTTTTCTAATTATAATTTCTTATCTAAAATTAAACTTTAATTGTAAAAGTATTAAATTAAATTATTATAATTTAATATCAAATTTTAATATTATATGTACATAAAATATTTTAAAATTTTAATATATATATATATATATATATTGAAAAATAAAAAAATTGATAAAAATTAGTTTTAAAAATTTATATTGATTTAGATAAAAGAGTAATATTATTATTTAAATATAATTTATATTTTATTCTATTATTTTTTATTTATCTCAAACATTAAAAAATGATATAATGTTATATATTTTACTATTTTGATGTACATCAAACAAGGAATAGGATAAGAATTTATCCTTCTCATTCCTTTGTTTATTTCTTTATTCTATTATTTCTTATTTTATCATCTTCACAAAAAAAGCTCTTAAATATTATATATAAGAGTGATCGGCCTAAACACTAGGCCTTAATGAAATAGATAAATGTTTCTTTTGAATGAGTATGAATTATTTATAAGGTGTTTTATGTTGGATTATGAGATCTATATATTCTTGCTTTTCACAAAGGTAGACCAGGATAGAAGGAAAGATTGAAAGATTGAGTAAAGTTTGTTTAGTTGAATTCAATCTATGTCTTCCTGTTGAAAAATAAAAGAAAAAATCTATGTTTTCTCAAATTTACTTTAATAAATTCATACGTAATTGTTCTAATAAAATAAATAAATAAAAATAAAAAATATATTCATTGATAAAGAAAAAAGAATGATACATAACACATTTACAATTAAGTATTATATATAGGTAATTAATTATATACTTGTTCACTCATGTTAAAATTTGACCACAAAATTAGCTAAGTATTAATCACTTGACACTTTATCCAGGAACCATTAATTAGACTAGAATATTGGTTAGGATAATGGTTCAACCACAAAAGTAACTAAGTGTTGGTCACTTGACACCTTAGCCAAAGATTAGTGATTTGACTAGAATATTTGTTAAGGTAGTAGTTTGACCACAAAAGTGACTTTAAACATTTAGCGCAATTTAAACAAGAATATTGGTTAAGATAGTGATTCGATAGGAATCTAAGTCCTATTAGTTTGACCAACCATAAAAATGGCTAAGGGTTAGACACTTAAAACCTTAAATTAGTGATTCAATTGGAATCTAAGTTACATCAGTCTAACTATCAGTCTTCAACCAACTTGAAGAGCTATGTTCACATATGTGAAGAGGATGATCAAGGTAAGTAGTTTGATATTGCACTTAGATGACATTGAAAGAATCATAATTTGACCAAGAAGTTATCATTCTTCAGAGAAACTCGTTGAAGTGGTCCAAGTTTCATCAACTAGAGAGTATTTCCACCAAAACCACCAACTAGATCATTTCAACTAGAAACAAATGACCAAGTTTCATCAAGTGAAGAGTATTTAAACCAAAAGCACCAATTGGATCATTTCAACTAGAAACAAATGTCAAATACCAACAAGAGGTAAAAAACAATCAACAATAGTTACCATAATACACAATCCAAAATATGGATTTGAAGAATTTTATAAGTTATCTAGCATGTTTTAAAAACATGGGCTTAAGGGATATTAAAATTTATGTAATCTACAAATAGGACTTTAGATTCTTGTTTAGATGAATTTCTTTTCTTTTTTTTTGTTGAATACTGGTGGTTTGGATAGTGGTTTAACCATAAAAGTAATTAAGTGTTGGTCACTTAGCACTTTAGTCAAATATTGGCAATCTGACTAGAATATTGGTTAAGGTGGTGGTTCAACCACAAAAATGACTTTAAACATTTAGCATAATTTGACAATAATATTAGTTAAGATAGTGATTCAACGAAAATCTAAATCCTATCAGTTTGACCAACCATAAAAGTGACTAAGAGTTAAACACTTAAAACATTAAATTAGTGATTCAATTGGAGTCTAAGTCACATCAGTCTTATCACCGGTCTTTGACCAACTTAAAGAGCTATGTTCACATTGGTAGTTCACATATTTGTATTACATTAGTCTAACCACTACTACTATTACTACTTATGGGTCAGTGCGTTATGCAAGTTGATTTGCAATGGCCGGATGTTAATGTTCTTATTTAACATGTTTAATGTATCCAAATTTTATAATATTGTTTGATTATTAATATATATATATATATATATATATGTGTGTGTGTGTGTGTGTGTGTGTGTGTGAATTGATGTTTTGAATGTGCATTTGATTGTGTGATGAGTTGGATGTGAATATGATGATGTAAATATATACGTTCGGTTGTGTGATAATGCGAATATATGTGTTAGAATAGACGTGAATTGGATGAGGATATTTGACTTATAGTTGGTTTGTTGATTGGAGAATAGGCTAAGTGTGTGTTGTAGAGACATTCTTGCTGTAGCGAGAGGGTCAGGGAGAAAGAGGTGATTCTGTTACATTCTCACTGTAGTGAGAGGCCTCTTGCTGTAGCAAAAAGGCAATAGAGAGGGGTGCATTTCTGGGTGCAGTCTTATTGTAGCGAGTGTCTCGCTGTAGCGAGATTCTATAGAGAGTGCAATTTCCTCTGATATTTTCTCTGTAGTGAGAAAGGGTGTCGCTGTAGTGAGAGCATCGCGATTAGAGGGGTATTTGAGGAATTTAGGGTTTGAAAAATTCATTTTTCATTCCTCTCTTTAAAAGCTCTTTGATTCTCTCGACTCAAAACCCTATTTCACCGTTTAAATTTCCTCTAAAGCTATTCAGATGTAAGATTAATGGTTGAGGTTGTGTTTGGAGCATTTAGACATAAGTACTGTGGATTAAGGTTTCAGGTTTTCATTCCTTTCTTTGATTTCTTGGTTTCTGATAGGATTTTTCCTATATTTAGGACGAAAGTTCGTGTGGGGAGCACTTTCATTGTATATTTCATGTTGGGTCTTCAATTCGAGGTAATGAGAGACTTTATCCTATCTCTTTTGGTTTGAAACTCGTTATTAGAGCTAGATAATAAAATGTGGTTGAGATAGAATGTAGGAAAGTGTGTACTTTAGTTGAAATTTCGTGTGGAATATGATATGGTAGCGATTGGATGATGTGTATGATGGAATGATTTGATTATGATGTGTTTGTAATGTGAACTTTGTATGGAATGCAATGTGATTGACATTGAGTGCAATGTGTGGATAAATGGTTAGTTATAATGTGGTTGAAATGCTTAGACATGTCATTGATTGATATTGGATATTATGAAATGGGTGAGAATGTGTGTGAATGACATGCTAAATGTGATTGTGTTTGAATATGTTGAAAAACTATGAATGATTCAGTGATACACTAGGGGTGTGAAAGATAGGAGTGGTAAAAATACTTTGAGGAAGAAAGGGTGGTAGTGACACTAACAGTGAGCGTGGGTGCACCACAGGCCACACACTCTTCTCCTGACTCAACATCTAAGTAACACCTTTGCCTGGGGCTCAATACCGCACATGTTGTATCCGTGGAGCAGAAGCTAACTGACGACCATCTATGGTGTGAAACTGAGTAAGTCCCTGAGATTGAGGGCATCAGGAATATGTGATCACAGTACTACAGTGAACGTAACTAGCATGCAGTGAGCACAAGTGAGTGTTGTATGATGAGTGTTTGATAGTGCAGTGAGCGCACCTGTTTGTGATTGAGAA